AGAAAGCGCACTGTCAGCCGAAAGGATTCAATACGGCGGTAACAACATCAAGGAGGGAGTCTTTGGGTGTATAAGTCCGATTAGTATTTGTAATCTCTTTGAACTTAGTGGATTGTTCATTGTCTGGGCGTGGCCCCGCAGAGTAAGTGTGCGCACCGAACTGCGATACCATTTTCGTGTGTCTTTACTGTTTCTGCATCATTATTATCTTGCTGCATAGCCTCTACAAATTTATTTACTGAATACACAATCTGAAATACTTAACTGACATCAATGTCACAACTAGTGTTGTAACACCACTTGTGACACCGACTGAAAAACAGACCTAACAACGTACATTTTTGGCAACTCCACTAGTAAAACGAAAGTTGATTTTCTTCAATCATTTACCATATATGAATGGATAATAAAGCTCACCTGGTACTGTAAGATTCTTGCTCAGGTCTTGTCCACACTTGAGAATTTAAAGCAAACACAACAACAGATTGTACAAAGATTATCTGAGATAGAAAAGGGAAAACAAATAGATGCCCCTGTTACAATCCAACCCGATCAACCTAATGGCACACAAGCAACGGGAAGTCAAAATCCTGTCATATCAAAGAATCAAGAGAATCCTACCAACTGCCATACTCCTGTAAATACTGGAAACGAGACTTCAAGTGAAGTCATTACGAAAGATTAGTTACGAAACATGTTCCAAAAAGAAGCAGAGTGAGCCAACAAAATGGTAACAACAATAGATTTTTAGCCCCTATCCAAATCATATTCTTTCCAAACCATACCCAATAGATTACATCAACCCCAAATTTAGAAGGCTTGACAGGAAGAAAGGCAATGTAAGAGAACATATCATTAGTATTCTGGATGATCTCGGAATCTATGCTAGTGATCAAGAATTACGGATGAGGGAATTTTTAAAATCACTCACTGATCGAGCTTACGCTTGGTTTGTCAACTTGCGAGTAGGCAGTATCAACTCCTGGAAAGAATTGGTAACAGTGTTCTGCTCTAAGTTCTTCATCGCTGAATGCAAGATAAGTCTGACGGATTTAGCCAACGAGAGGCAATTGGTACATGAATCACTCTCCGGTTACGTAAACCGATTCAAAAACAATGTGTTGGATTGCAACGAGATTATTGCAGAAAAAGAGCTGATTCGGTTCTGTATTAACGGAATGCCACTCGAGTACAAGGTTCATATTGAAAATCATACTACATCTGAGTTTGCTGCACTAATGAACAAGGTAGAAAATACTGAAAGTACAGTGATAGCTATGCAGAAAGCTACAACATCCAAGAGACCGATTATAAACCGATGGAATAAACTGCCTTCACCGAAGCATAGAAAGGAAGTCACTGTTGTAGAATCAACTCGTCAAGAAAAGAACTTGCCAATTCCTCTAGAAATACCTTTATTTCGAGATAGGATTGACGCTTTAGTCCGAGCATGGATCGAAGACAGAGAAATACAGATTAAAGCTAATAAAAAGCCACCTACACCAGAAGAGACAAGAAATCCTACATTGTCAGGAAGGTTTTTAGCCCCCCTATCCAATAGATTTTTAGCCCCTATCCAAATCATATTCTTTCCAAACCATACCCAATAGATTACATCAACCCCAAATTTAGAAGGTTTGACAGGAAGAAAGGCAATGTAAGAGAACATATCATTAGTATTCTAGATGATCTCGGAATCTATGCTAGTGATCAAGTGTGTAACTTGTAACTGAGATGTTACTTTCACTAGTGTCTTTGTTAATTTAATAAAATCTCTTTTCTCTTAATTATGAGGTAAGCTTCTCTATCTATATCAGGGACTAGTCATAATGTAATGTAACTAGTGAAGGATTTAGATATTCTTCCCCTTTTTTTCTTTTTTTTTTTTTTTGTTCTTTAAGAAAAAATTTATCGTAGAACACGCAATTGTAAGGCTGGTTTTTTGTTTTAATGAAGTTTCCTTTATTAATTATGGGTCGTTTAATGGCAATTAATACAATGTCGTGCTAGTATAATCTTTTTAAAGTCAGCAAACGTCCAAATGAAGAATCAAAGATGCATCCGCCTACCGTATAATCAAGTTTAAATTAGTTCTCCAACGTATAAACCATTATGTGCGAACTTAATCATCTAAACAATATTTGGTTAAGTAGTTGTGGCCATATTAAGTTTAAACTAGAAGAAAAATGTGTTCTAGTGACAATTAATTTAGTAACATCTTAACACAAAATGACACTGTAGATGTTATATATTTAGTGGCATTTACTAAATATGTCACGATAAATAATACGTTAGTGACATTTTATAATTGTTACTAAAATTATAGTTTTACTGACATTTATGAATGTCAACAAGATATTGTTTAGTGACATGTAATGATTGTCACTAGCATTTATAAATGTCACACAACGTAAATATAGTGAGATTTTAAGAATGCCAGTAATTACAAGAAAAATTCAAATTTTGTGACAAGTTAACAAAAATGTCATTGTTGATATAATCTAGTGGCATTTGCTAAAAGTGTCACAAAAAAATATAGTTTAGTGAAATTTAGAAAATGTCACTGTAAAAATATAATTTTATTGGCATTTTAAGATGTCACAAGAGACGTCTTTATAGTTACATTTTCTAAATTTCACTAAATATATTTCTAATGACATTTAGAAATGTCATTGTGTGATCCTGTGATCTAGTACTAGTTGTGGTTTGTCATCACTCAAGTTGAATCCATTTTAATATTGTTCTTTTTTACTGTTATTGTGTCTTTTTTTTTCCTGTTTCACAATTAGATGAAATAATGGCTCATTCTACATTTTGAATGATCTTTAGATTTTACTATCTAGAACCATTGGGAGAATGAAGGTTACTATTTGAAATATTGTTCTTATCAATGTTAACAATATGAATATCTTATCAATGCTAACACTGTATTTATGTTGAAAAATAGTCATATTAGCATTTTGCCATAACTTTCTTTTTTGGTGAATATGTCATAACTTTCTTCCCTGGTTGGCCTTTATTGCAGCACAAGTTGTGAAAGTTCCTTCTCATTGCTGAAGTGTCGATGTGCTACCTATATTAGATTATGCAGTCTTTTTACATGCCAAGGACACATCAAAGGCAACACATACATTAGGAAATTGAGGTTCAATGTAAATATTGGGTGGAGATTTGAAATGGCTAGAGCACAACTTCAGTTAAGGTTTCTAGCTGTTAAGACATGATCTTCTGATAATTCATAATTGATTTCATTTTGGTGTATGAACATATTAGTACTCTGATGTGATGCTCAATTTGAGTTTAAAATAATTCACTGTGATGAACTTGAGCAAAAACGCAGTTTGAGATGCATGTAACACTCTTATTATTATATGGGAATGAATTACAGATTATAGTGTTCTAAAACTTCTTTTTAATTGCATTTTAAATTGAAAATAAAAAATATATAAATTTCATTTATATATGCTCTGTAGAGACAACTTATCGAACTAATAAACATTCTGATAGCGGTTAAGAAAAGCTACCAAAGCTAGAATATAACTGGTAAAAACAGCTAGAAGAACTATTTTCTGTAGCGTTCTTGATAACAATTCGAAAACGCTATCTAATGTAGGCACTTAAAGCATTAGTTGTCCTGGCGTTCAATGAAACGCTAATAACGTTTTTAATCGGCTATTAATAACGATATTTGTTATAGTGTTTATTTCTGTACAATTTTAGTATTTTTTTATTGAATAAAAATATGTCCCTTAAAATATTTTTTTTATAGTGTTGATAAATTTGGTGTACTCGCTAGTACAAATAGATTTGGTGCGTAGAATATCACTTGATTTCTAGTACAGTACTTTTAACAGCAATTTTTACAAAACTGTCAACAAATGTCGTATAACATTTTTGAAAAATATATATTATAACGGAGTATCATTTTTGCTTCATCAAGCCAACACAAATAATAATTTCCAAGCAAGTATATTACAAATCCGCCTCATAAAATTATTAATAATCAATTAATAATAAATAAATAAGAAAATAAAAGGAAGAATAAAAGAACAAGATTTAACGTGATTCAGTAAAATGCCTATATCCACAGACTAGTAAAAGAGAAAATATTCACTAGTGAGAAGCACTATAAATAGGATTCCATATAAATAGACATTACAAACATATAATCAATAAGTTATCCAACATTAAAAACAAAAGATTTCCTAACATGCATGTAAAAAGTCAAAACCACTATTAAAAATATTTTTCTCAATATGCCCTTGCAAGATTGTCTCCGTTAGGAGATTCAAATATTGTAATTTTTTTTTTCTTTTTCTGTTTCACGATCTTTTTTTTAGAAATTTCCTTGTCACGTTCGTGTTGCACTCTTTTCAAGTGTATTTGACGATGAGTTTTGAGGAAAAAAATTGACAAAAGTAGACATTCTGCGGCCATTTTCGAAAACCTCCTTATTGCGTTTTCTTGAAGTACATTCAAAAACAATTTCTGAAAAAATTATAGCAAAAAGTGTCGTTTAATTTTATTTTGTTATCGTAACTCAGATTTTGATCTAATTATTATTTTTTATATATTTACCTTTTCATATATGTGTGTTTTTATGTTGGTTTTTGTCAGATTTGTACGTAGTTCTGAGCGCAAGATCAATAAGCTCTAAGGAGAAGGGGAGCTTAACACAAACAGCTTGTTCGTTATTGTATGAATAAGAAGAGCTATACATTAGGAGTACTAGTGGAGGGGATTTTAACGGCCAAAGATTCTTCTTTTATTTTTAGGGTTCTTTTTCATCTCTTTTACCGATCGAGTAACGTTGCCAATTGGAAAGAATTAACTAATTGTTCTTTAATAAATGCAACGTTTATGTTTATTGTAAAGGATTGTTTGTTAAAATCGATCATCCTACTTTTATATACTTTATGATTGTAACTTTCATTTCAGATGAGTAAAATTGCTATATGTATAAGAAATTAAAAGAAAATATGTGGACAAATGAGTGGGCCAACAATATTCAATCCACAAAGTGTAATAATATTTCAATGTCTATGATTATTAATTCAAGACGCTGTAGGTATAGCAAGACAGCAGTACGCATTTCTCTTAATGACAAAATAAACACTTGTAAGTTATAGAAACCTCTTATGAAACCAGACTGGTTGTGCTTGAATTATATTTTATTTCTGAAATAAGGCATTGCATCTCATCTATATAAGATCCATTTATTACTTATTATAGTCACAAAACCACTGCTATATATATATATATATATATATTTATATATAGACACACTAACCCTAACTTAAACTACTCTATCAAACACAAGTGGCAAAGCAGAGCCATCCAAAGCCGCCAACAACTGGCCGTTCTCAAACAAAGAACCAAGAGACCCACATATGAACTTACAAATGGGACAGACATCAGCCGGACACCAATCTATTATGTAGACACCATCCAACTCTCCAGACTTATTGATGAGAAAATAATTGGAGTATCTCAGGTCGTCTCCCGTGGCGATAAGTCGCCGTCCGTCGACCTTCCCGCTGTGGTCGACCTTCCACGTTGTCGACTGCTCGCAGGTTGTGGCGCCGGAGAACGCCACCTTGAAGCTGCTTAGCTCTCTCACCACGTTCTCTCCGTCGTCGAAAGGCGCAAACGTGACGGGAATCCCGTCTGCCGTGACGTTCCGTTGCCCAACGTAGAAAGGACACGAGCCGTTCCGGTCGATCAAGGTGAAAGGTCCGCCGTTGTCAGTGATCGCGGGCTTTATTATGTACTCCACGCCGCGTCGGAGGGGCTGTCCAGAACTGTCCAGCACAGCGGAATTCTGTGCTGAAGCGGCTGATATCGCCATGATGAGCCATACAAGGCTTAGCCTTCTGATCAAATTCTTGTTCAACTTCATTTTTTCTTGTGTACTAATATGAAGAACTTGAGAAACAATGTTGTAGCTTGTCGATTTTGATATTTGCGATGTTTGATATATGCTTCTGTACACTTAGATTAGATTTGGTAATATATATAGGATAGGTTAGGGTTGGATATAGATCGGTTTATTGGACGACACGTCGCAATGGTGAGAAAAAGTCAATTGGTGTTATCAATTAAATGATCTATTGAGTATCGTGAGGGTTTCAGATACGGACTTAATAACCAGCTATCGTAAGTACGCAAATGTAGAAGCAAAAGAGAATTTGGGAATAAAAAACTTTAGTCACTCCTTGGTCCTGAAAGTTTTGTCGCAGTCGTTAAAAGTTTTGCTGTTGGGTCTTCGGAGGAGACCAATATACATTAAAAGACAAAATAGTTAGTCTCCAATAAAAACATTAGTGAATTATTTTTTTTATTTTTTAGGATAATGTTTTTAACTTTTAAAGAGATTTTTCGCGTTTAATTCTATTTGGATTATTCTTTTATATAAACAAAATGCATTAAAATTCGGGATCAACACAACTATACACAAAATTGTCATTTACCCCACTTAATACAATCTCTAATGCAAATACTAATACTAATTATATATTTAACATCAAAAAGTATAATATGGTATGCTATTTTCATTTTTTTTTTCAATGCATAATGCTATTTAAAATGGTAAATTTATTTTTTCCCATAATTATTAAGGTTTGAAAGTTGCAAAAATAAACTTTTATTTTTAAAATAATTATAAAATACAAAAGCTGTAATGATTAGATGAAAAGTAAACATTTCAACTAATAACAATTAAATACAAAATTTCTCATATGTTATATTTGATGAGAAATTTACCATAAAGTATAGTATATAGAAAATTTGACACAACAAATATAATTGTATTGAAGAATGTTTTTTGCACTCAAATGTTAACTTTACAATTAGTACATTAATTATAGCATTGCATTCGTGATGCTCTAAATGAGATAAAGAGAAAATGAATAGTTTTCATTGATGGTGTAGTACAAGTCTGTGTCACAATTTTCAATTCTCAAGCAAAAACAAAAAGGAAATAGTTATTCTAGTGAACAATTCGCCTCATTGACGTCCGTCCAAAATCTTGAAAATATATCTTGCTCAGGTTCATTAATCTTTTCATGTTGCAGAACTAGGGCAGCAACAGAGCCTACAAAAAAAAAAAATACAAATTAACTAAACATCATTGAGAAAGAGAGAGAGAGACTAGGCCGTGCAAACAATCATTTGATCATATCGCTGTCATTTTGGGAGTATTAATTAGAGTTGTTGTTGCCGATGGTGACGATGCTGGGTTGTGAAATTATTGATCCAAGTATGGGCTTTCAGAAATTAGAAGAAGACGAATTTGCTACTTCAATTTGAAGAAAACACTCTGCCAGAGCCAGAAGAAAAAGGAAAACTAGGGCGGGGAGAAAGAGAAAGGGAAGAGGATAATTCAGTGAGGAGAGAGAGAGAGAGAGGTACATACCAAAATTAGAATACGTAGAAGAGAGTGCTGTGGAGAGATGGTGAGGGAAAGATTTAAGGGTATGTTTGTTTAACAACTAAGTTAAGAACTTGAGTTGTGTATTTGAGTGAAAAACGCTGTAGAAAAAATTTAATTTAAATTTTTATGAGAGAAAATACTGTAGTAATAAAACTTGAGTTGTGACTTAGTTATGAAAAAACAAGGCCAAAAAGCAGAGAAAAATGGGAGGAGAGAAGGCAAATTGTAAAATGAGTAGAGAGGAAATCATATAGATTAGAAGTGGGAAGTGGGAAAATAGATAGCGGGAAGTGAAGGAAGTGGAATTTTCTAGTAGGTGAGTTGTGAACACTTCAAATTTTGGAGGGAAATAAAAAAAAATATTCCGCCTCTGAGTGAAAAGTTTATGAAAAAATCTTCGTTATATCTCTTCTCAAATAAAAAAAATCGTGATTTTTTTTGTTGCCACATGAGTTGGCCTATTAATCCCCATGTTATCATCTTTTTAGCCACAATTCACATAACCATTATAACCACAAAATAAAATATTAAATTTCTAAATAAAAATAAATTATAAATATTAAATAATACATCAATAAATGTAGTTTATGATTAATATTACAATAACATATTAATTAATTGTTCATATACATTACAACAGCATATAGTTTATCATTTTTTCTCTTTCTATTATTTTCAACACATGTCCATTTAACATATAAACGGACAAAGTCTGAATCATCATCATTGAAAACATCAACCTCGTCAACAGGTGCCAAACCTCTACTCACCAATGTAATGTCGTTGCAATCATCATCATTCTCTTATCCATCACGAATAGCTCTTGGCTTCATGGGAACAACTAATGACAACTCTAAATCATATCGGCTGTATAGAAAACTTGTTTTGCTTGCGTCGCCAAAATGAAAGGATCATTCTTGTAGCCCATTCTTATAAAGTCAATCACTATAGCACCGTTACTATCGACGTTCAAATAATTATCGCCGACCCATTTACACATAAACAGTGCCACTCGTAATCCGCAATAGTCAAGTTTCCATATATCCTCCCCAAAACCGTAGTAGGTTATTGTTCCATATACGTGATTCTTGTCTTTTACAGACGAAATATGCACAGTATCGCCTCGGAGAGTAACACCACTATTTTGGACCGGGTGCTTCTCATCTCTCTCCTGAGTGTATAACGTCTAGCCATTTATTGAGTACGACATGTACTTCATTACCATCGACGAGGGTCCTCTAGCTAGCTTAAACAAGTCTTTTGACACTCCTTCATTTTCTAATTCGCGAACCTTGGAGCAAATGTGTGTCCTTATCCACTATCTAAATGTCCGGTTACATTCATCTTGCAACCACTTCTCATTTCTCCCTCTTTTTGGATTTACTGCCTTTGTTTGTTTTTTGTGGACCTCTATGTATTGTTCAACCTCACGAGCATTATGTAGCACGTAGAGACAAGCTTGTTCCCATGCTTCGTGAGGAACCGAGGAAGGAATACTGGAAGATTTACCTTTTGGCTCCATGTTTACCTTCTTTGGTAAACCAATTACTTCTGTGTTAGACAAGTACTCCGAGCAAAATTCTGTAGCTTCTTCAGCTATGTAACTTCCATGATGCAATCTTCCGGCCTATTTCAATTCTTAACATAACCTCTTAGAATCTTCATGTACCTTTCAAAAGGGTACTTCCACCTCAAGTATATTGGCCTACAGACTAAGTGTGCCGTTAGATGAATCATGATGTTGAAAAATAATGGTGAAAAATACTTCTCTAGCATGCACAAGGTCATCACCAACTTTGATTGTAGTGTATCCAACATCATTGGATCTACTACCTTGGAACATATGGAGTTGAAGAAGTATAAAAACTTAGTAAGTACAAATCTGACTTCCTTTGTTAGAATCCCACGCAAAGCAAGTGGCAACAGTTGTTGCATCAAAGTATGACAATCATGTGTCTTCATCCCAGTCAGCTTCAATTCTTTCACTGACACCAAGTTCTTAAAGTTTGATGAATATGTTGGTTTTCATACCTTTCTGGAACTTTGACAGAAGAAAGCCATTCACAGAATTTCTTCTTTTCTTGTCTCGATAATTTGTACATAGCCAAAGGTAAGTAAGTGTGGGAGCCCCTTTCCTCAGGAGCCAAGTCACCTCTAATGTTCAATTCCATGAGATCTAACCATGCATTGAGGCTACACTCTAGTTTTACCAGGGATGTCAAGTAGCGCGCCAACCATCGACTCACAAACATTCTTCTCAATATGATGACATCTAAGCAATGGCAAATTAACAATGAACTCCAATATGGAAGATCGAAAAAAATTGACTTTTTCTTCTAAGATCTGATCACCGGCTCATTTTTTGTTCTTTTTTTCTTCTTGAATACCACTTTTATGTTCTTGACCATCTCAAACACTTGTTTACCTGTCAAAGGTCTTGGAGATGGTCTTTCTTTTATTTTACTATTAAAAGCTTTTCTTTATTTGCGGTATCGATGATTCATAGGAAAGAATCTTCTATGGCCATCGTACACTGTCTTCTTTTCACGTTTCAACCAGATCGAAAATGTTTCTGTTATGCAAACAAAGCAACCTATGGAACTCTTAACCGAGTAGCCAGATAGGTTTCCATATGTAGGGAAGTCATTAATTGTTTACATCAACATTGCTCGAAGTACGAAGAAATCATCGCAGAAAACACAATCTCCTCAACTCGTCAATCAATGATGCCAAGTAGACATCAATGTCATTTCCCGGTTGATTAGGTCTAGAAATCAACAAGGTCAACATTAGGAACTTCCGTTTCATAGACAAGTCTGGGGAAGAATGTAGTTTACAAGGATGATAGTCCAAGTACTGTGCTTATTGTTAAATTACTATGCGGATTCATCCCATCAGCCGATAAGGCAAGGCTGACATTCCTAGGTTCGGTACTAAATTCAGGATTCTCTGCATCAAATGTCTTCTACTGTAGAGAATCACCAGGGTGTCATCGCATGCTATCGTCGACCCTCTTATCATAATGTTAAGATAAATTTTTAGCATGCTCCTGATTTTGATAAAATCACTCTAATCTTGGTTCAATCGGAATGTTTCTTACCTGCACATATTTTCTCACATTGGAAGGTTTCTTACCTTTCTTCCACCTAGACTCGTGACACACTGGACACTCATCCAAGTCTTCACACTCTTTCCGATATAGCACCCAATCATTTGAATGTGCATGTATTTTCTCATAATCCATCCCTATAGATCTCAATGTCTTCTTAGCCTCGTACATAGAACCCGGCACTTGATTATTATCCGGAAGTGAATTTCTTAGAAATTCTAAGAGTCTTGTGAAACTTGCATTTAACCACCCACTTGACGCTTTCAAGTTCCACAATCTAATTAATCCGGAAAATTTGGTATACTTCTTACACCCACTATACCATGGTGTCTCGGCATCATCCATCATCTAATTCTAAAATAACTCTAGTCGGTGCACAAATTCTTCCTCCATATCATAATCATATCAACTATGTTACTTCCATCATCT